CAGTTTCTCATTTATTCTGGTGAGTTATTATGAATAGTCATGATAGTCATGGCTCAAACTCCATGTTGGCCAATTAGCTTTGCTATGTTTCAGGGTTCCACAGTCACAATCAGCATCTTAACCTCTGTTAACAAAGAAAGACACTGACTGTGTGAAACATTAGACCAGGGATGGGGAAACTTTTTTCTGCCAAAGGACCATTTGGATATTTATAACACCATTCATAGATCATACAAAGTTATAAACTTAAAAATTAGCCTGTTATAGATTTACTAAATTTGATTCCCTCCTGCAGTAGCCTTGGCAGGGCCAGACCAAATATACCCTGCAAGCTGGACATTCTCCATCATTGCATTAGAGAAATGAACACATATATATCACCAACATCCATTGCTACTAGAAAAATATTAAAAATTTAAAAATTGTAATAACACCCCATTTTACTAAGCCTAGCTAGTGTGTGCCTAATTCAATTAGCCTCTAATGTCTTTAGCTGCACAGGGTTAGTATTATTATCCTTGTTTTACAGATGATAAAAAAAGTGAATTCAAATGCTTATATAAACCAAAATCCAGTAGAGCTTGGATTCAGATCTTGGTCTATCTGGCTCTAAAGCTTAGGTTAGTTCCACTATACAATATGGCCTTCGCAGAGTGTGCCTCAGTGATGTAAGAAAATCAACAAAATGTTCCTATTCAGAACTATTCAGCAAACTCAGTACTAACTGAGCATCCACAACACAAACTTAGATGCCACCACCGAGACTGAGTCTACCTTCTAAACGCTTTTTAAGTAAAAAATAAATAAATAAATAAATAAATCTGAGGCACAAGTGACAAGTGTTTAAAACATGAAGGAAAAACAACACACTATAGCACAAAAAGCTACTGTCAGCTTTGTGCTGCAAAAAGGTAGTTACCTGCTGATTCACAACCAAAAGCAAAATGAAACTGGCAAAGCATAATAACCAGGAGACACCACATTGTAAAAGAGAATAAAGGAAACATTTCCTAAACATCTGAATCTGCAGATATATTGTAGTCATTGTGGTTTGAAGCATACAAACACATTTCAATTTTTAACCCAAAGACTTTGCCTTGACCAATAAATCATTTTTCTCTGTATGGCTTTCTTCCTTGGTTTCTCTGAACTTTCATTCCTTGTAGACACAAACACACAGACACCCCAATGTCATCAACAGCATCAGTCACAAAGAGTTTCCACCTTCAGGGGCAGGTATATAGTGAGGTAAAGATGCTTGCCATTTCAGACATGGAAAGCCAAGACACTGTGGCAAAAAAAAAAAAAAATACCCTAGATGAAAGATCTCGCCGGCGCCGCAGCTCAATAGGCTAATCCTCCACCTAGCGGCACCGGCACACCGGGTTCTAGTCCCAGTCGGGGCGCCAGATTCTGTCCCGGTTGCCCCTCTTCCAGGCCAGCTCTCTGCTGTGGCCCGGGAAGGCAGTGGAGGATGGTTCAAGTGCTTGGGCTCTGCACCCGCATGGGAGACCAGGAGAAGCACCTGGCTCCTGCCTTCGGATCAGCGCGGTGCACCGGCCGCAGCGCGCCAGCGGTGGCGGCCATTGGAGGGTGAACCAACAGCAAAAGGAAGACCTTTCTCTCTGTCTCTCTCTCTCTGTCCACTCTGCCTGTCAAAAAAAAAAAAAAAAAAAAAGATCTCTGTGAGAGAGACCCCAGTGGAAAGGAGTGACCATCAAAGGATGTACTTTTCTCTGAAGGCAGGAGAGAACTTCCACTTCGCTTATGGCCCTGTCTAAATACTGATGGAGATTGTAGTTTCAAAGGGCTTCCATAGCCTTGGCAGTTCATATCAAAAGCCTCGGGTGGCCGGCGCCATGGCTCACTAGGCTAATCCTCCACCTGCGGCGCCAGCACCCCAGGTTCTAGTCCCGGTTGGGGTGACGGATTCTGTCCCGGTTGCTCCTCTTCCAGTCCACTATATTCCTAAAGTTGTACTTATGAAATTTGTACTCATTAAATAAAAGGTTTCTTTGGTGGAAAAATAAATAAATTCAGCCTGGTCTGAGGGAAAAAAAAAATGATGCTCACATCCCATACTGGAGTTTCTGGGTTCCAGCTTTTTGCTAATGCACACCCTGGGAGGCAACCTGTGATGGCTCAAATAACTGAGTCCCTGCCACCCACAGAGAAGACCTGGATGGAGTTCCTGGCTCCTGGCTTTAGCCTACCCAGCCTCAGCTGTTGCAGGCATTTGGGGACTGAATCAGTGCATAGATTTCTTTCTCTCTCTGCTTGTCAAGTAAAAAAAATAAATAAAAAAGAAACACTTTTCACCTTTCAAAAAACAAAGGTCATCAAGTCACCTAGACCTTATCAACCATAGGTTGAAATGTTTAAATCAAATAATCATACTTGGAAAAACAAAAGGATTGGGACCATCATTGTGGCTCCTGACTGTGATGCCAGCATCCTATATGAATGCTGGTTTGAGCCCCAGATGCTCCACTTCTGATCCAGCTCCCAGATAACACACCTGGGAGAGCAACAGATGATGGCCCAAGTGCCTGGGCCACTGACACCCCCATGGGAGACCTTGATACAGTTCCTGGCTTCTGGCTTAAGCCTGGCCCAGCCCCAGCCATTGTGGCCATTTAGGGAGAGAATCGATCTCTCTCTCTCTCTCTCATTGCCTTTCAAATAAGTAAATCTTTAAAAAATAAAAAAGGATCAATGACAAAAACTATTTCATAAAACGCTTTCCTAGTCAATATGAGTCATAAAGATAAATAATTATTCTACTATAGGTTACGATGTACAAAGAAGTATATTCTTACTACAGGTTATAAATGAAGCACCAGTCCAATTTCAAAAACTATATATAAAGTCTGGCATTTGGCCTAGCAGTCAAAATACCACTTGGGACACCCCCAGCCCATATTAGAGTTTTTAGATTCAAGTTCCAAGTCTGCTCTGATTCTAGAGCACTCTGGGAGGCAGTAACTGCTGGCTCAATTAGTTGGGTCCCTGTCACCTATATGAGACTGGGTTCCCAGTTCCTGGTTTAGGCCTGGCACAGCCCCAGCTGTGGTGGGCATCCAGGACTGAATCAGTGGATAGGGGTACTCACTTTAATGTGTGCGCTCTCATACTCGCTTGCTCTCTCTCTCTCTTCCCCTCTCCCCCTTTCAAAGTAAAAAAGTTGAGGGGCCATGGGTAAAGCTGCTGCCTGCAGTGCCGGCATCCCATATGGGCACCAGTTTGAGTCCCGGCTGCTCTACTTCCAATCCAGCTCCCTGCTAATGTGCCTGGGAAAGCAGAGGAGAATGGCCCAAGGGCTTGGGCCCCTGCACCCATGTGGGACACCTGGAAGAATCTCCCAGCTCCTGGCTTTTGATCGGCCCCTACCATTGCAGCCATCCGGGGAGCGAACCAGTGGATGGAAGGTATCTCTTTCTGTCTCTCTCTCTCTCTCTCTCAGTAACTCTACCTTATCAAAATAAATAAATCTTTTTAAAAATTTTTTAAAAATTGAAAAAGAACTAGGTATAGCAACACTTGCAGAGTCTCTAGAAAACCAGAAACACAGTACCTCCCAATAACATTTTAGGAACTTCTGCAATTTGAAGAAAAAAAAGAAAAAGAAAAAAGCTTAATACAATCTTTACATAAAAACAAACTGCTTAAAAAATCTGCAAACTAAGAACTTTTATTTATTGTATTAAGACTTGTGAATTATGGATAATCATCCTCACTTTCACAAAGCAACTAAATGAAATCTCAGGAAAATATTCTACTTAAAATCATCATTTTTTTCATTACCAGCATCATATTAACAATATAATGAAAACTTGTTTGCACCTGGCACTACTAAGCCCTTTATGGTCACATCTTATTTAATCTTTACAGATACTTTGTGAACCAAATGCTATTTCCTCTATTTTATCTGACTAGTAAATAAACTCAGAGAAATCAACTAATTGGCCCAAAAGTCAAAAGTCTAAGTCACAGCAGCAGGATCTGGGTTCAAATTTGTTCAACTTAATACGGTGAACTAACAGACCTTAATGATATCCTGCTTTTCTGGACCACATTCAAGCATTTTTCAATCACTTCAGAGTAAACACACACTAAAAATATCTAAGTACTACATTTAATTGATTTGCAAAATTCCTATTCTCCCCAAGGGGAAAATTATGACAGTAGGCAGCCTGTCTAGAGAAGTAAAGCTTAACCATCAGAATACTGGCCGGAATACTGGTTCTTTGCATTCTGAATTCTGCGAGGGGACATACACACACCTAGCACACACCCCTAGGATAGGTGAAAATAATCCCGATCAGCCAGCAAGCACACAGGTTAGTGGGGCTGTGTTAGAAGCAGGGCCAAGTTTTTAGCACAGAAGCTGTATCTGAACAAGAGAAACAAGACCTGGTACAGGCAGCTACTCGTTTAAGATCACATTTAAGACATGTTAAGTGTTCTCTGAAATGCTTGTGCCCACATGGTACAAGCAACAGAGATGAACAGCTGAATGTGGGGGAGACAAGGAAAAAGTCCAAATTCTGGTGGAGTTTAAAATCCAGACGGATCTTCGGCCGACACCACAGGTGGTAAGGCCCTAATGCCACCTCTTCACTAGGAACCCGGCAAGAAAACCTGTGTGGTTCATACAAGCTGCGGACCACGAAGGACCACAGGTCTAGCCAGTGGTAGCCCGAGGCTCCTCTCGGGGCATCGGGCTCCCAGTCCTGTGCTCGCTCCCTTACACAACTCTCCATACTGACGAAGTAAACTTCTAACAACCAGAGCCTCCCGAGGGCCGCCCAAGAAAAGCAGGAAGTACATCCGCCCCGCCTGCCCGGTACCAGCCGTAGCCCGGGGCTCCCCGGCGGCGGAGCCGGATCGTTCGCCAGGCTCTCGGCCCAGACGTCGCCACGGCCCCAGGGTCTCCGGGGCCGCCTCGGCGCCCACGCCCCCCTAGCCCTGAGCGGGTCGCCAGGGACCCCACTCAGTACCTGTTGAAACCCCGGAAAGGGACTTCCTCTCCGCAGAGAGCACTGGGGCGGAGATCCAGAGGGGTTCATTGCCCTCTAAGGGCAAAAGGAGGCCAGAGTGGTCCCAGGAGGGTCCCTCTCCACCTAGGGCCCGAAGGGGTCGAAAGGCGGGAGGTTGCCAGTAACCTCAGCCCCAGGCAGGGGCCGGCCCCGCACGTCACGTGAGAAAAAATAACACCGGTCACAAACAGGGGGAAAGGCAGTTCTCATCCCCGGCTGTGAGGGGCAGTGGCCGGGTCAGTGACCCCAGCCCGAGGTACAGGAGGCAGGAAGGAGAGAGGGGTACGTGGGGCTGGTTGTTACCGGGGCGCCGTCGCTCTGCGCTTCCGCCGCCTCCGCGAAGCTGTAGCTCTTCCGCGGCCGCCGTTGGGGCGCGCGCCAGGCCTCGGCTCCACCCCGCCTCCGCCGCGCGGCCTTCTGGGAGTGGTAGTCTTGGCAAGGCCCTGGCGAGCCGGTGCGTGCGCGTCACGTGGTGGGAGGGGCTGGGGAAACGGCGAGGGCGGCCGGGCGTTGTGTTTTTATCACTTCATCCTTGCCGCGGTCTCTCGGCTGTGAATGTGTTCAAACGCCCTCACATCGCACTCAGTCTTACCACCTCCTATCTCTGTTCACAGCCAACTTCTTGACAAGTAGCCTACACCTGTGTGTGCTCCATTGCTGCCCTGCGGCGCCCGCCGTCACGGAACATGGCCTTGTTGACAAATTCAGTCGAGGTCTTTAAGGCTCCTCTAATACAAGCGTGAGTCGTGTGACGCTGTCGGGCTGCATCGGTTATTTTGAATGACGCTAGCCAGGTTTTCCTTTTTTAAGTCACTCTCGGTTTTCTTCAAGTTTTCTCTTCCTAACCCGGCCCTGCAATACCCGCGCTCTAAGTCCGAGACGGGTGTGGGAGAGCACCTTCTCGCCTGAGCTGCCACTTGTATTCCCAACCCCCTGGACGACCAGGAGGCCGCTCAGATCTTGTTCACTCTGTCCCCCAAGTGGCTCTGAGCCTCTCCCCGCTTCGCAGCCTCTGCCAGAGATTCACTTCCCGCCCTGCTTCCCTCACTGTGTCTTAGCTGATCACTGCATAGGCTTCCTTTAGGACCTTAGTACCTCTTTCTGATCCCCCTGGCTGCCCTCAGGCCCATTTATGCGAACAGCAAATTTAATCAGGTTGCATTTGTGGTAAAAATCCTTTGAAAGCTCCACTTGACCGAGTGTGGGAAGAGGACTAGAGGTGAATGTCTGGACAGCTTTTATAAGTTGTGAATTCCAGCCCCACTGCTCTCCCTCCCATCCCGTATTGTGGTGGGGAAGTTCAGAAAAAGAGGATTGTGACAGATCTTATGGTGGGATAGGTGGGCATGGGCACTTTTTAAAAGTTCCCCAGGTGCTTCCAGCATTCAACAAGAATACTTTTTATTTTTTATTGCCTGTGCCACTGCTGTGTTGTGTGCGGAGAAAACACTAGTATTTAGAACAGCCCCTGTCCTTTTGGAGTTTACATTGTCTTGGAATAGACAGATGTTAATCAAATGATCCCCTATCAAAAATCAAAACCACCACCAGCACGAACAGCAAAATACCCTACAATTACCAGCTGTGGTAACAATTGTGGAAGAAAATGAATCAGTCCCTTTCCTCTTCTCTCTGCTGCCTGTCCCAGCCCAGGCTGGGAAGGAGCCTATCAAAGCCTGTCAGGAGCTAATCTCCCCTCATTCCCTCCCATTTTACATCTACATTTACCCAACTGCTAGATCGCACTTGCTCCCTCATGTTTGCATAGCCATCCCTGTGTTTGGAAAGCTCTCTCCTGCTCCCCTAACTAAATTCTACCCTAATTCTCTCCTGTTGGATTCAAAGCAAATCCAATAGAATACCAGCTACATGGAAGGATTTTTCTGAGGACTGGACTGAGTTAGGTGATAGCCCCAAGCAAGCCATGGTAGGATGAGGAGAGACAGGAACAGTTGACTGTGTTAAGGAGGAGCAGGGCTACCCTTAGCAATTTAAAGAGGCCTGAGCCAAGATACAAAACACAAATCAAGAAGTCCTCCCCCCACCCAGGAAGTCTTTGCTAGCCTACCCTCTTTGCGGGCACTCACTGTACCTGTGCTGACTTCTCAACTAACGGTTAAGCTAGAGCCAGCTCATACAGCTTTGAAGAGCCAACTGTTAGATGGCCAGGAATTTTGCAAGTCACTTTTTAAACCACTGAGCTCTTGAGCTCAACTGTGTTGAGAGTATTTACACCATGAAAAGCAGGCAGATGACAAATCAGGGATTTTTTTTTTTCTTTTTTGGAGAGCCAAAATCGGCACGTCACTTGCCTTTGTTACACCACTCATCCCTACATTGTAATTGTATTGTAATGAATTCCTAGTAGATGAATCCCTTATATCAACTTCATTTAACAAATATGTATTGGCCGGCGCCGCAGCTCACTAGGCTAATCCTCCGCCTTGCGGCACCGGCACACCGGGTTCTAGTCCCGGTTGGGGCGCCGGATTCTGTCCCGGTTGCCCCTCTTCCAGGCCAGCTCTCTGCTGTGGCCAGGGAGTGCAGTGGAAGATGGCCCAAGTGCTTGGGCCCTGCACCCCATGGGAGACCAGGAGAAGTACCTGGCTCCTGCCATCCGATCAGTGCGGTGCGCCGGCCGCAGCGCACCGGCTGCGGCGGCCATTGGAGGGTGAACCAACGGCAAAGGAAGACCTTTCTCTCTGTCTCTCTCTCTCTCTCACTGTCCACTCTGCCTGTCAAAAAAAAAAATGCATTGATGCTTATTAGCATGCACCAGAGACTTAGCAAGGTGCTGAGGGGGCATACAGTGGAGAACAAACAAGCGTGGTCCTGTCAGGGAGCTTACAGTCTAGCAGATAAGACAGAAAATAAAGAACTCTTTGCTTTCAAATTGAACTGGGTTGCTGTGTGACAGAGCATCCTGGCAATGAATGGTGGTGGACATTGAATGCTACATTACTTTAGCAAGATGGTCCAGGAAGGCCTCCCTGAGGAGGCAATCTTTCCACTAAGCACTGGAAGATGAAAAAGAGATGGTGAAGGGGAAAACCAAGGAAACAATGTTCCACCAAAGGGATCCGATTACATAAAGGAAGAGCTAGGCTAATTGAGGGACTGGCTAGTGAGTGACAGGCCTGAGTGAAGAGCATGTGAGTTGTGCAGTCTAGATGACAAGCTGAGGTCATTAGGACCAGTAATGCTTTGGGGCTATGGTGAGGACCCTGGACTAAATTATAGGTTTTAAATAAGGGGGTGATGTTTTCTCATTCACATTTTAATATAATCACTCTTTTTTTTTTTTTTTTTCTGAAGGCCCAGAGTAGAAATGGGAGCCCATAGGTTGCAGAAAGAATTAATAGAACAAAGTTCTGGCAGTGGCATGGAGAGAAGTAGGTGGATTTGACATTCTGCATTGAGTCAACAGGACTTGCTGCTGAACTGAATATAGAGGAGGACGGATTGGCAAACAAAAGAGAGGACCCAGCATCATAAAAACCCCACATCAGAAAGTTGCTGTTATCTGTCTCTGTATCTTCAGTCTCTAGAATGGAGCCTGGAACTTAAGAGGCTGTTATCAGTTGTGTCAAAGGAATTCACCTGTTCCATATGCTAAACTCAGTGCCCCATTGCTAACACTTCGTATCATGTATCACGCAGGCCTCTACTAATCCACAGTGTGCTTTCATGCAAATTAGGAAGAAAATACCTCCTTCTTCCTGGTGGACACAGCCCGGCATCAAAGCTCAAACTGAGGAGCAGTGCATGGACTAGATTTCCTTCCCTACTTACTCCCTCAGCTGGCACTCTTGTGCAGTGCACAGTCTGCACAACTACATACAACAGTCCTGGCCTAATTGAACATCCCTGGGTGACAGTTGTGTGGCAATAAGCCCAGCATTCATGGGAAGAATTTGAGGCCCAGAGGGGAAAAAGCTGCTTTCCTGGGGTCAGCAGAGCAGCTGCTGTGACTGAAACTCCAAGCTTTGGCCTCCGAATCCCTGTGGGCTCTTTAGCCCTGGAGCCGCGCTGTCTCTCCCAAGTCACTCAGCTCATCAATAAAAAAGCTAAACTCAAAATGGAGACTTTGCTTCCTTGAGTTTCTCATCTGTCTCGGTTACTATTGTTAGAGTGTTTCACATTTACATAGCATCCAATATGTGCTTGGTGCCTTACAAAATACAATAAAGGAACATGAAACCAAAGGACCTTGATTTTTTTTTTTTTTAGCAGAATGAACAAGGAATGGCTGGCTTAAAGAGCCCTTCACTATTGGATAAAAATGAGCTCTGGTGTATTGGCTTGAGATGATACTGTAAGCAATGCCAAAAAAAATTATTATTGTGCAAGCTGCCTTTCTACAGCGCCCCCGACCATCAGAAGGAGGGCACGTGGGAGCAGCTGGCTTCAGAAATGTAAACTCTGAGGAGGGTCGGGGTGGAGGTCAAGGATGTGAGGAAGAGAAAAGTAACACCCTGGAGGAGGAAAAGCACTTTCCCTCCGTAAACAATAGCATTGAAGAGTTAACAAGTGCTTAATGTGGGCCAAGAGCTGTGCTAAGCCCATTAGGAGCCTGATCTTAGTTAATCCTCACACGCCCCTACCAGATAGCATCTACAAATGCCATCATTTTACACTGGAGGAAGCTGAGACACAGAGCGGTTACATAATGTGCCTAAGGCTGTGCAGCTCAGAGGTGACAGACTGAGCTGTCTACTGTACTGTACCACCTGTAACACAGATGGTCCTGGTGCCAGGCCCCCTGTGTCAGTGGCACACTTTGAAGGTCTAGGATAACTTGAGGAGGAGAGCTGGTTGCCAGGCTCTTAGGATCCTGTGTTGTCTGTCTGTTCAGTGATTGGCACATAGTTATCTACAGCCTAGCTCCAAAGCGAACAGTTTACATTTGTATTTCTTTCCTTATTTTTATGCATTTATTTGAAAGGCACACTGACAGGGAGAGAGATCTTTCATCTACCGGTTCACTCCCAGATGCCTGCAACAGCCAGGATGGGGCCAGGCCAAAGCCAGAAGCCAGAAACTCAACCTGGGCCATCATCTGCTGCATCAGAGAACAATGCAGCAGGAAGCTGAATTGGAAGTGGAGTAATCAGGACTCGAACCAGCACTCCGGAATGGGATGTGGGTGTCCTAAGCAGTGGCTTCATACATTGCACCACAACACTTGCCCTGGTCCCCCCTATTTTAAGGATTCTTTCCTTTTTGACTTTCAGCTCCTAAGCAGAACATATCCAAATTTCATTGGCCTTTGGGTATGGAATCCTAGCATTGAAAAT